AGTAGTAGTAGTAGTAGTAGTAGTAGTAGTAGTAGTAGTAGTAGTAGTGGTAGTAGTAGTAGTAGTATAAAGATATGTTAAAAAATTACAACTTACTTCCAAAAAACAACAACAAAAACAAATGGTACAATGGAAACAATGCACAACCATTTCCAGTCTCGGATGAAATATGCTTTGAACCCTATGGCCATCAAAGCAAAAGTAAAATAAAACCACACCAGGGTACCAGACAGCGCTCTCTTAGCAGGTCCAACCAGTTCTGTCGCCAACACAAACATCGTAAGTACACTTCCTCCTTCAAAGATTCCAACAACCACTCTCAGTAAAAGAATAAGCCAGACAGCCTTGACAAACGACATGATAAATGTCATAGTCATCACCATGATTACAGAAGGGAACAAAACGCTACGACGACCGTATTTGTCTGCTATGAGACCAAGAATGATAGCACCCAACGCCCAACCAAAGAACAGCAAGGAACTGGACAGCCATGCGTAGATGCTTTTGTCACAGACGAGATCAAACTGTTGAGAAATATACAGGGATTTGCTTATCAGCCTTTAAAAATTTTTAATCTGTCAATCCAATCTCGTACCCAGAGCTGTATTTCTTACTGCGCATGCTCCACGAAATAATTGAGAATTTTTTGGCGAGATTGCGCAGTAAGAGTTAAGGCTCTGGGTATGAGATTGATCTAATGTGCTAACAGCGACTGGTCATGCAGAAGATTAATAGTGTGGACTGCCTGTGTTTTCAATTAAAGTAATAAACATGTTTTACTGGTTTTCTACTGAACTCAATCTCGTACCCAGAGCATGCGTTTCTTCTGGCCTGCGGCGAAAAACGAGGGCTCTGGCATAATCCATTTTTTGAGACCAGGGTTTCTTGGACTTCCGGTATAACAGCGCATGTGTTCGAAGACTTGCCAAAAATTAAAAAATATTTTCCCGATTTCAAATTTTTGCTATGATCTTTACTTTGATTATTTTGATTGGTTATATATCACTTTTCAAAAATTGCGCATGCGCCAAAATATGGATTATGCCAGAGCCCTCGTTCTTCGCTGCAGGTCAGAAGAAACGCAGGCTCTGGGTACGAGATTGCACTGTACTGACAATGCTCGACTAATAACACTGCTCTATGATTTGGAATCTAGGCGCGCAATGCCTTGTTCGACGCAGCAAAAATTTCAAAGTAATTTCTTTTATCTCTTGTCTAGACGAAGTATTTTCCACCATCAGCGTAGACGGCCTATTTCTAAAATACATTTGGAGTATCTTTCCACGGATTAGTTTTATTTTCTTTAATTTTGAGTAAAAGCTGTTGTCGGGCTGGTCTCTAGCCTCCTACTAGTCCGCAGACGTTCTTAGGGTCTGTCACGCAATGTTTCCCTCCTTCGTGGGAAGGGAAACGTTGCGTGACAGAACCTAAGAACGTCTGCATTGCCCACCCGCCTGTTTAGGTCGTGATTGAATTTCAAGAAAATGTCAACCCTTATTTTCTGACCCTATACTCAGACAGTCCGCAAACGAGTTTAAAACTGGTTCTGCTTCAAAAGGTTATAAGGTTCGATTCCAAAAATTACACACCGCGGGATGTTCGGTCATTGAATTTCAAGAAAATGTCAACCCTTATTTTCTGACCCTACTCAAACAGTCCGCAAATGAGTTTAAAATTAGTTCTGCTTCAAAAGGTTATAAGATTCGATTCTAAAAATTCCACGTTCGCAGCTAAAATAAATAAAACTTAAAAATCAAATGTTCGTATTATATCAATATTAAGCCAACATGGTTTGACAGCTCAAACGATGTACAGATTTTTTCGGCGAACATCGACAAACATTACCCCACACTTTTCGTATATAACGGGATTGAGTATGAGATGTCGATCGAGCTTGTTGTATCACGATCAACTCATTAAAGGATTTTCTTAAATGTTTATTACGATAAAACGCGCGCACTAACTGAAGATAGAACTAGCCATGACAGCACATTTGTGCCCCCAGTTAGTTTTATTCATAAATCTTTTAACACTGAAATAAAGTTGTTTGTATATGTGTGGACCGCGATTACAAGCCCGATACGAGAGAAATCCAATATTAGAGACATTTATTACGATGTTCTTGCAAGGTACTACAACCCTCTAACTGAATATCAACATCAGGCGTCAACCTTTTACGAAGTTGTTGCTGGAAAAGCCTCCATATAGCATTTTAATGATGCTAAGCGTATTATCATGCTTGGTGGCGTGTTTCTGGGCTCGATCCCTAGCGGGTAGCGGGTAGTGGAAAGCGGGAAACCTGATTCTAAAGGAGTCTGAATACCGATGTCTAGCCTACCTCTGTAACAATGGTTTTATGAGGTCCTTCGTACAAATCATAATCAGCAAACTTCCAGTCAGATCTGTTCAGAGAGCATCTTCTCTCGTACAACGCTATGGGTTTGGTGCTGGTGCTAAAGACTTCTCGTCCAGTAGCGTTGGCTTGAAGGCAGGCTGTACTGTTGGACGCGCACATCCATGGCGGTTCATAAGCCACGAACACCATGATTAGAGTTTGGTAAGTAATTGGGAAGAAAATAAACAAGAACATGGCCAGGACACGCTTCTGGAACGGGCCAAACTGACCGATATGCTTAAGCACTTGATCGACATCCATTTTTAGTTTATAAAAAATTGAGCGCTTTGTTTGATTCAGACTTTGGAAAGTTCAAGACACTCGTCTCAACTAGTGATTGTTTAGGGGTCAAAAGTTACTCGTACTTCAGTTCAAATCAAAGTAATTTGAGCCATCCCCCATCGAAACACTAAACCATAACTTTTTGCGATCAAGCAAATAGTTAAATGGCGTGTTAAATGGTAAATTGGGTCAATGAAATTGAATTTGGGTTTATTTTTCTTTGGTTTTTGTTAAGAGAAGCCAGAGTTTATTGTATACGACGTTCCGAGATCTAATATTTTGCAGATGTAATGGTTAGCTTAGATCTAGATGCGACATGTAGCAATCATTCCTGTAACATTGCACAACACACCACAGGTAGGTAACAGGGTTTGTAGAGGGATGTTACACGTAGCAACCTTTCATGTAACATTGCGCATCCATCACAGGTGGGTAACAGGGTTTGTATAGGGATGTCACACGTAGCAACCTTTCATGTAACATTGCGCATCACACCACAGGTAGGTAACAGGGTTTGTAGAGGGATGTCAATGCCTTTCCTGTAACATTGTACACCACACCACAGGTAGGTAACAGGGTTTGTAGAGGGATGTCACACGTAGTAACCTTTCATGT